TGTTGGTGCTGCTGAGTCTTTGCTTTGGGAGTTGTGCTGGGGTCTGTATCAGCTGGGTGCTGGGTGGTGATGCCAGAGCTCAGCAATTGTCTTACACTGACTTTGAGGAGATTCAGTTTCCTGTGCAAAGAGGGGAGGTGATAAATACTATTCTGTGCTTTCCTTTCTCCTCCCTCAGCTTTGTAGTGGGTCAGGTCTTTGTGAATACCTGTGTGCTCTTCAGGGAGCCTTGCCTCTTTGCTGGTAAAATCAGAGTTGGTACAGCCAGCAAAGATTCTCCTTTGAGTAGAATTCAGCTTTCTCCTCTGATTTTGCACTGATATGTAGCAGGTTCTGTTCTTTCATGCTGCCTGGACATGTAGGGGAGAGCTGGCTGCAAAGTCTGTGGCTGCAGATTTATTACAGAGCAAATTCTGTAGCAGCACAAGCCCCCTCCGAGTGCTCCAAACCCCTCACTTAGGGATAGCATTGCCATCAGTGACCTGAATACCCTGCCTGCCTTTCCAGCTGCCTGTTTCACTGCAAAAGGACACAGAATCTCTGAGAAAATCTCCTCTTAAGAAATTTGTCTTGGTGTTTTTTGCTGCACTGCCAAAAAACCACACAGGGCAGAACCAATGTCCCAGGTGAGCTTCAGTTCTGTTACCAGGATGGGTTGGAGGCATTTCCTGCACAGTGAAAAGATTGACTGAACATGGCAGGGCATCCTCTCCCTTAACCAAAATTTTCATTTTTGCACCCAGATGTGTGCATTTGTACACAATATGGACTCAGGGACAGCCATGGTGCTGCTAGGTTGTATTTCTTTGGTTGCATGCTGCCTTAAAAGTGCTGAGGTGTCAGTGAGAGCAATTCACAATAAGAATGTCCAAAGTCTTCTAGTATCAGTAAAGGGTCGTTTTCAGGCAAATATTAGTCTGAATTTGAAGTGCTCATTTGAAGAGCATGTAGTAAACACATAGCTGAATGCTGCAATTATTTATCTTTGTTCTCTTTTTTCCCTATCTATACCTACATTTATCTACAGCAGTCAGCAATGCCTTGCCAAATCTTCTAATATTAAATATTTGTTTTACTTGTCATCTTTTTCATTCTCTGTTCTCAATGCCTATGTAGCAGGCAAGAGAATTGAAATTAAGCATATTTTATCCTGGCTAACTCTTAGATCATTACTCATTTACTGCTGATATTATTGACAGTGGATATCTCCATATATCTTTGTACAGTGATTTGTCATTAGGAGAATCACTTTATCATGACATCAGAAATTTCCTGAATTATGCTTTCTAAGATTGGCTTTTCTCTGTGCAATGGATTTTTTTTTCTGTCTCTTCATATTACAGTGTGTTATGATAGGTATGCTGCTTGTGTCTATAAAAAGAGTAATTTTTTGAGTGTTCACTTTTAATAGTCTGTATTTAAGCCCGTGTTTGTGAGGAAATGGTATGCTGCTTTCCATCCAAGTGGCTTTTATTCTCCAGAGATGCAATTATTTTACATTCCAAACAAAGGGTCCTGGAACATCTCAGAATCTTACAGGAACAACCTCTGCAACAGTTTAACCAATTTTTTTCCTGCAGTTTGGAAGCTGAAAAGCTAAAATTTGGTAATCAGTCATGTATGATCACAGACATTTTTCTTAAGAGTAATGCTTGAGAATTCCTAGCTCATGGCCTTGTTAAGTCAAAAGCACTTAAATTTCTGAAAGTATTAAAGGGAGATAAAAAAACTTATAACCACAATTCAGGCCCAAGAGTAGATAAAAATGTTAAAAATCATCAATCATGGTAGGAAAGAAAGCAGAATTTTTCTGCTTAAGTTAGTATTGAGATGAAGAAAGATGGCATGTTTCTGTTTTATTGTAATAAAGACAAACTTTCTGTTTGTCAAGTAAGGCCGAGGTGAAACAATCACTCTCGAAAGTAATTTTTTTTTTTAACTGAGAAACTAAGGTGTGCCTGTATTTCTGCTGGTAAATGGAATGACTCAAGTAAATAGATGTTTGTAAAATTGACATTTGCCCCTACTAAGTTATGGAAATGTGATACAGAATATAGTCTACAGTGACTCACACAAGATACTATTACTAATGCAAATGATGGCTTACAGAGAATATGCTTTGTCAAATGTGTTTATTACTATTTTTTATGATAAAATGTACTTATGCAGGGGATTTAAATGTTTTCTGTACAACATTTTGTTACAGAAAAATATCATTAACCCAAATTGACTTACTCTGAGTTAAATTTGTTAAAATAGAAAGTAATTATCTAGTAGCTCTGGGAAGCTGGTTTTAGGTGAGAAAACCTCATGCAGGGGGAAGTTTCCAATGAGAGCCTGTGCTTTGTAGTGTTAGGCAGAAAAAACATCTCCTATTTCTCTTATTTTTTCAAGATTGAGAGGTGTCCTGGTCATATTCTGTGAACACTTACATGTGGAAGAGATTTATGATTATTGCAGGTCTTTTATCAACAAGATCATAAATCAGTTCAGAAACAACACATGTTTTAAAAGAGAGAGTAGCTGTCCATTGGAACAAATACCCTGTAGCATTTGGAAACGTTAAGTCAAGAACTTCTGGGCTATAATTTCACCAGGTATTATGGGATTGATGAGAACATTTGGAGTGGAAGAGGTTAGTGCAGATGGGTACACTAGCCCCTTCTCACCCCACACTGTCATAATACAGAGAATGGGAAAATAACTTCTATTTCACCTTTCTACATTCACTATGTCTTTGATCCCAAAGGAACTTTGATCTATCTAAATAAGAAAAAGAATAAATATTATTATTAAAGTAGAAGTTATTTATTCTTTTCACACTCTATACTTTAGGAGCTTTAGGAATGCTTTGCAGTAATTTGTTTTACACCTCTCCTGCATTAAACATAAATTAAAATTGTGGCTTGAGTTCATTAACTTGACCATTTGCCTCAAAGCTTAGTCAGGGTTACCAGAGTCTCCCTCTGCTATTATTCCATGATAGTCAGCTCATTAACCCAGTGTCCCTGTCTCCTGCTCTGTCTGCAGAGCTAGCTGCCAGATTAATTCCATATGATGAGAAATTAATCAGTAATATTGATCTGCACTCTTTTGATATGAGACTTCCAGGGTGCTCTTAGTCTCATGCTCTTTTCTATCATTTATCCTAGAAAAACATTAAAAGGCTTTATATGTTTCTCAGTGCAATTAGCTGCTTTGCATTTTGGGGCTATAAGGAAGTTAGTGTGTTTAGGAGAGTGTGCAAATATTAAACACATATTAAACAGTTTACAAACCCAACAAGACCCACAGGTTTTCATTTTCTTTCTTTCTTCAGGTGTATTTGTGTTACTGTTTCAATAGGGAAAGCTATTTAAGGTAAGAAACTAGTTGAAGGTCTTATTTAATTGATCTACAATGAACATATCTTCATAATGGACAGTTCTTCACTCACCTTTACGTTTCGTGAGGTTTCATTACACTTCCAGTTTTTCCTCCAATCTCTTTAGATTTTCTAGTCTGTAAACCCTCCTGGGCAGGTAATTCCTTGTATATCTCACTGAAACTGAGCCCTGGGTGTGTTTGGACATGTGTTGGTAAGAGGTCACCTACATCAAGACTTCTGAAAGCTGGGTTTTCTGAGTGTGTACAAAATGTGGTGTTTTTCTGTTGAGGATGGTCTGTCTTTGCATGTCCTGTCCATTCGACTCTGCGTGTCTGTTCTGTGCTCCTGCCGGGAATGAGCACAGCAGCAGGCAGATAGTCTGGGCACCAGGTCTGGAGGGACACCCACAGACAGGACAGAGCCTTTCCACCAGAAATTCTGGAAAATGAGTGTGAAAACTGTTAGGAGTGAGCAGAGTGCAATGGAACAGTCCTGTCTTCCACATCACCCTTCCAGACAAAGTGAAAGAAGTAGATGGGTAGTGAAAGAAGTAGATGGGTAGAAAAAGACTACCCCAAATCAGGATAAAACTCCCACCAGAAACTGGATGGATGGATGGATGGATGGATGGATGGATGGATGATGGATGGATGGATGGATGGATGGATGATGGATGGATGGATGGATGGATGGATGGATGGATGGATGATGGATGGAGGATGGATGATGGATGGATGGATGGATGGATGGATGGATGGATGGATGGATGGATGGAGGATGGATGGAGGATGGATGGATGGATGGATGGATGGATGGATGGATGGATGGATGGATGGATGGAGGATGGATGGAGGATGGATGGATGGATGGATGGATGATGGATGGATGGATGATGGATGGATGGATGGATGGATGGATGGATGGATGGATGGATGCATGGATGGATGGAGGGATGGAGGGATGGATGGATGATGGATGGGTGGATGATGGATGGATGGAGGGATGGATGGATGATGGATGGATGGAGGGATGGATGGATGGATGGATGGATGGATGGATGATGGATGGATGGATGGATGGAGGATGGATGGATGGATGGATGGATGGAGGATGGATGGAGGATGGATGAT